CTAGTAAGCAACCCACACATCTCTGCTACAAATGAAAATGTAAACTTTGCTTCCACCACCATTTATAAACAATGGAATGAAAAACAAAAGTGAGCAGGAGTGCAAATGTTACAGCTAACTCCACAGACGGGGTTAATTGTGCCAGACTGAGGGGCTAGTTGTAACAGTTGCTTAAAGTCTGGTAAATGAATGGAATTGCATTTAATTCACTTGTATGTTGTTTGAACCAGACAAGCTTTATGACCTAAATACATACTGTAAAAATAATTCATCAGAATAAATACGATTACTGGAAACAGGGTATATTTACTGTGGCAAATAAATTTTTATTCATGTAATAGAACAGCGAGTATCAGTGCGATAAAACGAAAATATTTTATTTACATGTGTCTTTAGTACGTGTTCATTCTGATAGTATTGCATTAAAACTAACCCCACCGTATGGAGGCTGTACTGTGGCATCTGTCACAGGCCGTGCTGCTGTTAGGAGCTAATCGGGTGTGGCCATGCAAAGTGTCTCCCAAGACACACCACACTCCCAGCGTTAAAAGGACTGTTGTTGTTGTACTTGTTGTTATTGTTGCTGTATTTATACTCAGTAACACTATGTGGATGGCCCACTGTAGATGCTTTGTAGATGATCAATTTATCTTTAACTAGCATTCAGCTAAATATCTATTAAATGCAAATGAACTTGAAGTTGTGTGTGAAAGGTTTTTATTAAATCTAGCCTCGAGTCTAAACCTAACCCTAACCTCAATGCAAAACCTACATCTACTCCTATACCTAACCCTAACCTCAATACAAAACCTGCACCTATCCCTATACCTAACCCTAACCTCAATACAAAACCTACACCTACTCCTATACCTAACCCTAACCTCAATGTAAAACCTACACCTACTCCTATACCTAACCCTAACCTTAATGTAAAACCTACACCTTCTCCTATACCTAACCCTAAAGTATCACCAGACAGTTTTTAATAATATAGGTATCTGTAGATCATCTATAGGGGACAATCCAAATAAAGTGCGACCATTCTAATTAATTTATTAGAGTAATTGTGTCTGAGGAGGGTAGGCTTTATAGTGTAACTAGTGGTTAGAAGTGTCTACGTTCCTCAAGTTTCGTGTCCTCCTGCATTACCCCCTGATGTTTCATGTTGGGATAGTGCTGGGCTGGCCATTTCTGGTCTTTGAAAGACTTGCTGTTGAAGTGCCTGTTCAGTAAAGACTGTTTGCCTGTGCATGCAGTGTTTCCCACATCATCTTCTACCCTACAACTACAGCACTTTAGACTGGCTAGCTCTCAGTGTCCTACATTCATCAAAGAATAAGAATGAGCGCAGTTTTGACCATCCTGAAAGATGTTTGAACTGCTCCACCTGTGATTCAGGAAACTGTTGTACAACAACAAAAAGCAGTGATTTTGGGTGTAGGTGATGAATCAGCTTCAGTGCATGGAAACAAGTGCCCACACACGCACATGTCATTTGCAATGGATGAACCCCAATTTGTCCTCACATACATATAATAATTAAGCATGCCGTAATTCATGCAGATGTTTTAAAAGTGATCCAATAAAAGCAAAGTATTTAGAAGATCATGAGCCAGTGGTTGTTCTCATAGGTGGTGTTTGGGGTCAAGCAGGAGGTGCAGTGCTCCCCCTACTGGCCAGAGCTTAAAGAGCTTTATAGGATTAAAATTGCAACCGTTGAAATAAATAAAATGTGAAATGATCAAGATGTAGCCCATAAAGTGATTTGATTGTGTAGAGTGATTTTCATAAAACACTGACTGCTTAAGCAATATTGCGGTATATCGCACCCGAAGCTACTAAATCAACCAGTTAACCAAATTCAATTGACTGTTGGGTTCAATTTCATTAGCTACACCAACTTAAATAGAACCTGTCTGGCAATGTGAAGCAGGCTAGAAGGTCTCAAAAAGCAGCACATGATGCCGTATTCTAAAGAGATTCAAATACAGGTGCGAAATAAAGTCATTGAAATCTATCAGTCTGGAAAGGGTTACAAAGCCATCGCTAAGGCTCAGGGGCTCCAGCAAACCACAGTGAGAGCCATTATCCACAAATGGAGAATGGAACAGTGGAGAACCTTCTCAGGAGTGGCCGTCCTACCCAAATGTTATCAAGAGCACATCAATGACTCATCCAGAAGGTCATAAAAGACCCCACACAAACTTCAAAAGAACTGCAGGCCTCACTTGCCTCAGTTAAGGTCAACGTACATGATTTCACAATAAGAAAGCAACTGGACAAAAATAGCATCCATGGAAGAATTGCAAGGCGCAAACCACTGCTGACCAAAAATAATTTGCCTAAAAACATCTAGATGGCCTCCTAGAATTTTGGGATAATATTTTGTGGACTGATGAGTCAAAGGTGAACATGGGTCCCATTACATTTGGCATTAAGCTAACACTACATTTTACCATAAGAACATCATACCAGCGGTCAAACATGGTGGTGGTAGTGTGATGGTCTGGGGCTGCTTTGCTTCTTCAGGACTTGGATGACTTGTCATAATTGATGGAACCATGAATCCTGCTTTCTATCAGAAAATCCTGAAGAAGAATGTCCACCCGTCAGTTTTTTTGGGGTTATGCTGCTAGACAGTGTTCCGAAGCACACAGGCAAGTCCACCTGTGAATGGCTTAAAAGAAACAAAATGAGGCTTTTGGAGTGGCCGAGTCAAAGTTCTGACTTGAATCCCATTGAGGTACTGCAGCAATGCTTGAAAACTCTCCAGTGTGGCTGAATTAAAACAATTCTGCAATGTCTGCTTATCGCAAAGTATCGCAAACGTTTGCAGTTGTTACATCCAAGGGTGGCACAACCAGTTATTAGGTTTAGGGGCAATTACTTTTTCTCATGGGTGAAATAGGTCTTGAATTCATCTTTATCTTCAATGAATGGAATGATTATTTCTAAGCTGCATTTTGTGTTTACTTGTGTTGTCTTCATCTTATATTAAAATTAGTTGGATGATCTGAAACATTTAAATTAGCAAAAAAAGAAGAATTCGGATGAGGTGCAATTTTTCACAGCATTGTATGTAATGGGAAGAACTCTTCAGATACTTCGGATGAATGTTGCTCAGTAAGAATCAGTGTTGCTCATAAGATCGCTTCCTCTTTCAACTTCTTCCTTATGGTTAAAATGTACAAAACAGTAATGCATGATGTACAACAGCAGATTTGAACAGAGATAAATCTTCACTAAACATTATAGAATCTGTCTTTATGCTCCCTGATGCAAGATATTAATATGATTCATTATACCTGCTTTGTTCCATGTTGCAGAAAGTTCTGTATTGCATGAAGCTGAATGATTTCACACATGCTGTGATCTTGGATTGAGGGGGCATTGAACTCTTACTCATCGCAATTCCAGACCAGCATGCTACACAGGATGCCACCAAAAGGGATACCGGCTATGCCAGCATGCATGATACCAGCTATGCCAGCAGCACGCAGTATGAGCTCAAGACTGTGTGCCAAGCAGCGTGTGAGCGCTCCCTTAAGTAGGGTGCCCATAGCTGCTACTGCTCAGCCCCAATTACTCAGTTCTGGCTCTCCGGCCCCTCCTAGTGGCTGGAGGTGGCCTAGCAGGTTGCCTGGATGTTACAAGTTCATTGATCTTCAAATAATAAGATAATGTAACAACCAGGTTACTTATTTTTAAATTAAAACTTTAAATACTTTTGACAGTAATATTATTGCTTGTTGTTTGAACTCATGCTGTATTGTTGATGTTATCATTGATGATGTTTCTTTTTTATGATAGAGATTCAAATAAAAGTAGTTTGCTCCTAATTGTTCCATTTGTATGTATATAGGCTTTACAATACCATAGGAATAAAAAATGCAGTTAATGTGCGAGCTAAAGACTGGTTTATACTACTGCAAAGGTGCACATAAACATATCTGCAGGGAGGAAGGTGGAGGGGGTGCCACTGGAGTGGTAAGATACATTGCTTCAGGAATTGTAAAATTTTAGTAATTTAAGTAATTATGAATTTTTATTAGAGCTGAAAAATCACATGCAAAAAAGGTACAATCTGTGTAGGGGGATGAAGGTTGAAAACTAGCTCTCTAGCCCAGGGTTTCTCAATGTTTTATGTTCAATGACACATGGCACATATTTTGAGGGTAGGTATCCCAAACATCCATGTGTTGAAAATCACCCACAAAATGCAATTTTTAAGGCAAAAAAAGTTCGGTTTTGTTTTCCTGTGGGCCGTCATGCTTTCTAGCAATAAACAATTTGGGCCTGAGAACCCCAGCTTTAGCCCTCCATCTTTGTTCTGACCACAAGACCACTGTTGGATGTATTTGGTTGGCAGACGATTCTGACCTCAGCTGTGACACTGATGTGTGTAATACATTTTGCAACACTGCTGTGCCTGATACACTCACACCAGCACAACACACAGTACCATACCACTGCCCTGAGAATGGTCCACCTCCTAAATAATATTTGGTCACCAGGAGTTTTGTGGTGGTTCATTTCCATTGATGGATATGATGGGAAGCTAAATTGTGCTGCAACAGTTGGGCTACAGTTTGTAACTGTAAACCTACAAAATGCACCGATATGGCCAATGAGAGATACAAAGTAGGTGTACCTAGTAAATCCAGTGTATACTGAATTCAGAATAAGACTATCAAATACAAATAAGCATATCAAATACATTAGTATTAATAAATGAATCTAAATGCTGATGATGATGTAACCAGGTTCTGATTATGATAGATTTTCTCTAAAAAGTGAAAATGCAAATGAGAGGCTTTAATATACATGCAGTTTCTTTATATGATCTATATTCTGTGCCTTATGGTCAAAAGCAGTGGACACTACTGAGTGAGTGTCATTTAGTTAGTATATTTCTGATGTACGGCACCCCTAAATGAACACACCCTCTCTAACAGTGGTTTTATGAGCTCATTGTAAATTTAGCAAACAGGAACTGATTGGGCTGCAACAGTGACACCAACACAGCAGAGACACAGACAGCAAGAGAAGCTTCCATTTTATTCAAGAGAAGAACGAATCTAACATGGACCGCCTTTTGATTTTCAGTTTCTTTATTTCCAGTAAGTAGACTTTTCATATGTATTGCAAATTACATACACCAATAATAAAAAGATCAATAAATCTATTAATAATTAATATATTTTTAACATAACAGACCAACAGTCAGTAGTGTTTTATAACAAGAAAATGTGGTATTTGCTGTGAGTAACAAGTGTTTGCTCTGTTGTCTCTGCAGGCGTTCAAAGCACTAGGTGGTTAACTCTTCAAACTGGAGGAAATGTCACCATCCCATGTCACTATGATAATGAATATATACAACATAAGAAATACTGGTGCTATCATGCTGGGGGAGAATTCAATTACTGTAAGATTCTGGCGTATGCGAATACCACAAAGGATAAATTAACGGTGATTGATTATCCAGCTCAGAGTCTCTTTACTGTGACTATGAGAGATCTGCAGAGTGGAGACACCGGAATGTACTGGTGTGCTGTGGAGATTGAAATTTGGGCAAATGTTAAAGAAGACATTTATATCACAGTGAAATCAGGTATATGTTTACAAACAGCAAATTACCGAGTATTGACTTATCACTGTATTTAGTGATGCATTGCTTATAATCAATTCAGACATCTTTGCTAAATTGTCTGTCTTTGTCTCCAGTTCCTGATCTATCTGTAGTGGAGAGCAGTGTGAGTGGTCAGGAAGGGGGCAGTGTCAGTGTCCAGTGTCTCTACAGTGCTGGATATCAGAATGAACAGAAGCAGTGGTGCAGATCGAAAGACTGGAGCTGCTACACAGTGGGGAGGACTGACACATCCCAGAATTCAGCAGTGCAGATTAGTGATGATAGGAGAAGATCCTTCAGTGTGGAGATGAGTGGACTGCAGCAGAGTGATGCTGGCTGGTACTGGTGTAAAACAAGAGATCTACAGATTCCTGTTCATGTCAGCATCAGAAGAGGAAATGCAGGTAAGATGCCAAACATATTTCAAGATTATCGTAAGGGTTTGGGTGCTAATATTCCAATAACGTTAATAAAAAAGAAAGCGTGATTAGCAAATTCAGTTTGGTCTGTGCTAAATTGTAAACAGTACAAAAACAATATTTTTTACCTCATTAAACTTTGGTTATACAAGACTTCAGTATAGAGGGCCTTTGTTGTTGTACAACACCATTTCCAAAAAAGTTGGGCGCTGTGCAGAATGTAAATAAAAATACAATGCAATCTTGTGCAAATCATGTAAACCATATTTTTAAAGGAAAATACTACAAAGACAACATATCAAATGTTGAAATTGAGATTCAGTGTTTTTTGAAAAATATATGCCCATTTTGAATTTGATGCCAACAACATGTTCCAAAAATGGGGGCATGTTTACCACTGTGTTGCATCACTGCTTCTTTTAACAACACTCTGTAAGTGTTTGGGAACTGAGGAGAGCAATTGCTGTAGTTTTGAAAGTGAAATGTTTTTCCATTCTTGTTTGATACAGGATTTCACCTGCTCAACAGTTCAGGATCTTATTTGTCATATTTTCATTTCATAATACGCCAAACGTTATCAGTGGGTGACAGGTCTAGACTGCAGGCTGGCCAGTTTAGCACCCGGACTCTTTTAATACAGAGCAATGCTGTTGTAATACATGCAGAGTGTGGTTTGACATTGTCTTGCTGAAATAAGCAAGATCTTCCCTGAAAAAGATGCAGTCTGGATGGCAGCATCTGTTGGCAAAACATGTATATATATTGTACAGCATTAATGATGCCTTCACAGATGTGCACGTCACCCATGCCGTTTGCACTAAATCACCCCTAAACCGTAATGAATACTGGCTTTTGAACTGTGAACTGATAACAAGCTGAGTGGTCTTTAGCCCGGAGAACACAGTGTCCATGATTTCCTATAAGAATTTCAAAAGTTGATTCGTCGGAACCACAGGACACTTTTCCACTTCACTTCAGTCCATTTTAAATGAGCTCAGGCCCAGAGAAAGTGGTAGCATTTCTGGGTCCTGTTTATGTATGCTTTCCTCTTTGCACTTTTAGAGTTTTAACTTGCATTTGTGAATGCAGCAATTCCACAACCAGCCTTTTGTTGCCCTGTCAGTTTCAACATTTGATTTGTTGTCTTTGTCCTATTTTCAATTACATATAGGGTTTAAATGATAGGGTTGTATTTTAGCTTCATAATGCACTACACATTTTCAAAGGGAGACAGGTCTAAACTGCAAGCTGGCCAGTCTAGCACCTGCACTCTCTGATTACACAGCCATGCTGCTGTAACATGCAGAATGTAGCTTGCCGTTGTCATGTTGAAATAAGCATGGACATCCCTAAAAAACAAAACAAAAATGTCTAGAAAGCAGCGTTTGATGCTCCAAATTGTGTGCATGTCTTTCAGTGGTGCCTTCACACATGTGCAAGTTATTCATGCCATGGACACTAAAACACCCCCATGGAATGACAGATGCTGCCATTTGAACCATATGCTGGTGACAGTCTGGCTGTTCCTTTTCTTCTTTGGCTCAGAGAACACAATGTCCATTATTTCCATAGACAATCTTAAAGCTTGTCTCATCTGACCACAATACACATTTCCACTGTGCATCAGTAGATTTCAGATGAGAGAGGTCAGTGGTGTTTCTGCACATTGTTGCCATTTGGTTTCTGCTGTGCATACTACAGTTTTAACTTGCATTTGTGGATGCAGGGATGGATGGTGTTTATCAACAATGGTGTGTCAAAGTATTCCTCAGCCCATGTAGTGATATCCCTCACAGAAGCATGCTGGTTATTAATACAGTGCTGTCCAAGTGATCGAAGGTCATGAATATTCCACTGTGGTTTTCAGTCTTGCTCCTCAAGCAAACAGTTTTATCCAGATTCCATAAATCTACCTAAAGCCCAATCACTCACTGAGGAACATTGTTCTTAAACTGTTGGATTATTTGCTGCTGCATTTATTTGGCAAAGTGGCGACCCATCCTTGCTCATGAAAGACTAGGCCTTTCCTGGATACACCTTTTATACCCAAGCATGATAAAAAAACATTGAAAAAGTGACACATTGAACTTCTTTGTAAAACTGTTGCATTCCAAAACCTTCTCCCATCATTTTTATCTCAGATAATTTCAGGTACTGTTAGGTCACTAATAATGTTAGTTCATCAAATTATGTAAGAATTAATTTATCTGGTTTGTTCTTATAGATTCTACGACGGTGGCTGGAAATACAAAGACAGACCTGTAAGTAGTGCAGTTTTTAAAAATCAACACTCAGTAAAGTTTTTTTTTTTTCTTTTTGCAGAACTCGCTTTTTTGCAATAACAACTGAGAATGTACATGACTCAGACATCAATTTAAAGAAGCAATGCTAGTAAATTATTACATAAACATCTACACAACTAAACATCACATAATTTAATTGGAAACTACAGTTCTTGAATAGAGACATATAAATTCCCCCTTAGCTGTAAGATATTTCATCTGAACTATATTTTGAAAACTAGATATCCAAAATTTCATAGCTGAAAGCTGTGGGGCAATCCAAAGTTGCAAGACAGTTTTCTTGGTGGCTGTAAAACCTTCCATCAGCAACCTTTGTTGAATCAAAGAAAGCAGGAAGAGCTGAGTCATCATTTAAAAAGACATAAATGTGGCAACAGTGGAATACTGAGATCAAGTACTTTAGATAATATATCTACTGTAGAGGTCCATATATCTGCTACTTCAGAACATATGCATAAATGTACCAGGTGCAGAGTTACAAATATTACAGGTATAACTAGAGATATGTTTCATTTGATATCTCCTGTAAGGTGTTGCATATGCTCTCTGAATTATTTTGTAACGAATAAACAGATGCGCCAAATTTTTAGAAGAGTGACTTAAATTAGCCCATCGTGTTCCAATCCAAGGAGGGACAAGTACTGGAAAGCTCTCGCTCCCACAGTTGTTCGACTGCCAACTGCTTCGTATGATGGTCTACCAACATTTTGTAAATAAACGATACTCTGCCCCGTAGATTGTCCAGAGGTCTTATCCAGTCTAGCAAGGGGTGAGAGCTGAGAGTGCTGCCCCAGGGAACTCCATAGGCTCGAAGTGCAGAACAAAGTTGTAAATAAACAAAGTATGAAGAAGCTGGAAGATTAAAAAGCATCCAAAGCTCCTGAAATAACAGCAAACCACTATCGCCACACGTGTCCTCTACATGTCCTGTACACTACCTTGAGAGGACCACAAAGAATAACAAAACGGTTTACCCCCATCAAAATCTTGAAATTATTCCATAAAGGAGTCTGTAAACAGATTTGGAGTGGAACGCCCATAAACCTCTCCACTTTTCTCCAGATACTCAGGGAGTTATACAACCCAATCTTGAATTATGATTTCCAGTAAACAATAAGTCTTGTAATTTATGAGGTTTTGCTAAAGATTCTTCAATACATCTCCAAGGAACTCTAGAGTGTTGATCCATCCATACATAGAGAGCTCTCATTTGAAATGCCCAGTGATAATACTTAAAGTTTGGAAGAGAAAGACCACCGTTTAGTTTAGATTGCTGCAAAGTAGTTGAACTTATTGTAGGGCGTTTATTGCTCCATATGAATTTAGAAATCATTGAGTCAATATTGTTGTAATAATTTTGTGGAGGAGGCAAAGGTAACATAAAGAACAGAAAACTAAATCGTGGGAGTATGTTAATCTTTACTATATTAACCTTGCCTTGCAGTGTTAATGGTAGATTATTCCGTCTCTGAATATCAGACTGAATGTCATGCAGAACTTTAATAAAATTCTCTTCTAATAAAATTCTTGCTATATCTGGGTATATGTTAATACCCAAGTAAGTAAAGGAATCCTTTGTGGGAATACATGATGGCATGACAGCCAAACCTCCTGGAATATTAAGTGGTATCAGTTTAGGTTTGTCCCAATTAATTTTGTATCCGGACAGGCTTCTGAACTCCTTAAATAACTGTAAAACCTGAGGGATTGAGGATTCGATTTTGGATAAATAGAGAAGTATATCATCAGCAAAAAGTGAAATATGGTGAGCAAGACCATAAACAGTTATAGGAGTTATGAGTTTATTCTGCCTGATCATTTGTGCTAAAGGCTCAAGACAGAGAGAGGAGATGACCGGACATAACGGACACCCTTGTACCTCTTTCAAGCCAAAACGGAGGAGATATTTTAGATCCTGTCATTACACATGCCGTTGGGTAATTATAAAGTATCCTAATCATAGATATAAACCTGTTACCAAAGCCATAGTTCCACAGCACTGCCCACATGTATTCCCACTCAAGCCTGTCGAAGGCTTTCATCGCATCGAGAGAAAAAACTGCAACAGACTCAACAGATGAATCAGTCAGATCCAAGATATGTAGCAATCTACGTATATTATCAGAAGTGGTGCGCCCTTTAATAAAACCTGTCTGATCATAATGTATCTATTTATCCACAAAAAGTTCTATTCTTCTAACTAAAACCTTGGTGAAGAGTTTTACATCACAATTGATCAGCGAAATAGGTCTATAATTATCACACTCGAGGGGATCTTTCCCTTTTTTTAAAAGAAGAGAAATGAGAGAAATGAGAGTTTTGATCTCACAATTAAATGAATTTAAGAGAAGGTTTCCAACTTTGTCCCAAAGTGCTAAAATAGCTCTGGTGGGAGGCCATCTAATCCCGGAGTTTTGTCACTATTTAAGGACTTAATTGCACCACTTAGTTCTTCCAATGTCAAACATGATTCCAATTGATCTGCTTCACTGGGAGAGAGTTTGAGTAAATCCAATTGGTCAAGAAAGAGACTACACAGAGGGATCCCACTTGATTTCTGACATGTAAACATTAGAGTAAAAATCCGTAAAGCTTTATTAATAGCCAAAGGCTCAAATAAAGCTTGTCCCTTTGGATCCCTTACAGCATACACATTCACTTTAGATTCACTTCTTTTAACCTTAAGGCAGGAAGGCGACTAGCCCTCTCTCCTTCTGCATAATACAACTGCCTAGTATGATGTAAGATGAACTCAGCTTTGGAGAGAGACAATTTATTGTATTCGGATCTTAAAGCAGCAAGTGAAGAGGGACTGTCAGAAGGATTTTGTTTTGGCCTTGATTCCAGTAGGTTAATTTTGGACTCAGCAAGTCAGCAAATTGTTTATTTCTAATAGTATTGAGATTCAGAGAAAAATAAATGCAAAAACCCCTTATAAAACATTTTGTTGCTTCCCAAAGAATCTGAGGATTATCACATTGTGCACTGTTAATCTCAAGAAATTCTACCAACTTTGCATTTATGTGCTCTAGAAAGCTATTATATATATATATATATATATATATATATATATATATATATATATATATATATATATATATATATATAATAAAGAAACATTGAAGCGCCATCTTGTGGCTTTTGTGTGTATAAATTCAGGAAAAAGAAGTGAACACACAACAGGAGCATGATTTGAAAGCAATATGGGTAGAATATCTGTCTGAATTAACAAGGGATGGATGGTTCATTATAGTTAATGGACGTCTTGTCTAGTTGGTTTATGGTCCAATTAAAATCACCTCCTACCAATAAATTAGATTCTGCTATGCCCAAAATTGTACTACGTATCCTGAGGAGAAAGTCCGGAGAATAATCATTGGGTGCATACACTGATGCTACTGCTATTCTGACCTGACAAACAGTAATAACTACTAGTACAAATCTCCCGACCTCATCACTAAAAGTATAATGAAGGGTTAGCGGAAGTTTCCTGTCTACTAGAATTAACACTCCCTTTGTTTTACTGGGGGCGCAAGAATATGCTAAAATTTTAAAATGTCTGTTTTGAAAACGTAGAACATCAGCATTCTTTAAATGAGACTCTAGAAGGGAAGGGAAAGGAAAAACTATTTACAGAAAAAGGCGCAAACTGCAAGGACACTAAGCTCCTACAGGTTTTCCTAAACATAAACACAGCCTCACTTGTGACTGTGTCAGCTGCACCGCCGAACGCAGTCCACTCCCCGAGTCCCCACCAAACAGTTACTTCAGTCCCCTGAAGATAGTCAGATGGACTAAAGCAAAATTAAATAAATACATTAAAACTATGATTTATCAGTCCAAATGCGTTGATCGTCAAAATACGACAAGCCATGATCTCACAGGAACATGCAGACAAGAAAATCCTGATAGTGGGAATCAAACATTAGTTTAAGGAATGCAAAAAGCTCTCAGCCTCTTCGAGGGAGTTAAAGGTCAGCTGTTGGCCTCGGTGCTTAATCTTGAGAATCGCTGGGTAAATGAGGAAGGGGTGAAACCCAGTGGTCTGCAAGTTTTTGATGACTTGGGTGAATTCTCTCCTCTTTGCAGCTGTGGTAGGGCTGTAATGTGTAATGTAAAGTGGCATTGCCATGCTTGATTGGAAAAGCCTTGCGAGCGTCTTTCAGAATAGCTTGCCTATCGGCATACCTCAGCAGTATGCTGTAGACTTGTTATCATATATAGGATGGCAATGGACGATTTCAATGGTACGACCGGCCAAGGATGGGATCCACTTAGGTAGATGAGACTGTAAAAATCCCATGCAATCGGAACCTTCAGCTGATTCAGGCAGACTGATTAGCCTGAGATTGTTCCTTTGGCTTCTATCCTGTAGTTCCGTCAACTTGACCTCCATCTTGGCCACCTGGTTAACTGTGTCGCTAATCTCGCACTTGTTTGAGCGAACTGCCGCTTGTAGGGAATCGACGGTGGACTTTTGAACCCACTTCCTTGATGTTCAAGATCTGCTGCTAGCCTCTTTAAAGCCTCATGCGCTGAAGAGATTTCATCTTCCAGAGATGCCAACTGAGGCGCAAGAGTGGTAGCAATAGCTTCTTTCACTGCCCTGGCTACTGAAGCGGCGAGAACTCGCTGCTGTTCTTGAAGGGCCTGGGTAATTCCTTTCAAAATGGTGGCATCAAAGTCAACTTTAGAAATCGCTTCCATCTCTCTGGGCTTTTTCTTGACTGGTGAAGAATGTTTCAGGTCTTTTTTTTCTGCCCATTCCTGTTAGGTGCTGATGCCATAGTTAATTTGAATGCAAAGGACCGAATTACATAAAAGTTCTTATAAATTTGGGGAATGTCGCGACCAAGAGCTGTCTCTTCTGCCCAGGGTCTAGACATATATGAATATCTCTAATATGTTCTATGCTATTGACCTGATAACCAACTGTAGTCTAACTTCTTCAAAAAGAATTAAAGGAATTAAAGAATATCAACAAAAGGGAAAAAAAGGATGAAAAGGAATAAAAAATAATAAAAAAGACAAGCCTCTGAGTTCTGTTGGATGGAAGGAAAAGGCCTTCTCTTTATTGAGCTTTAAGGGGCAAGATAGTTCCTGGACAACCATAATGCAAATATCATCACAAAGCATTCCTTTTTATTGTCCATTGGGGTGATGAAGTTATCACCCCACCCCTTTTTACACAATTCCATATCATCTTAGTCCCCATTTTATCCAAACCCTGCACCCTTTTTGGCAACCAAACGCACATGATGTCATTTTACATTCTGACCTGTTTGTACCAGGCTGTTTCATCCTCTCAAGGCCATCTTTACCCAAGTTCACGAGTTCACTTCAGCTAGAATTTGTACTGTCATCTAACAGAATTCCCTTTAAATTAGTTTTTGCTTCAGCTATAGTTTATACTGTCATCCAACAATTCCCTTCCTTTCAGCTATGATTTGTAGCTACACTTTGTACAGTTCCTTTTTTTGTCGCTTCCTCTTTCAACTTCTTCCTTATGGTTAAAATGTACAAAGCAGTAACACATGATGTGCAACAGCAGATTTGAACAGAGATAAATCTTCACTAAACATTACAGTATCTGTCTTTATGCTCCCTGATGCAAGATATGAAGTTTATGAACTGATTCATTATACCTGTTTGTTCCATGTTGCAGAGAGTTCTGTGTTGCATGAAGCGAATGATTTCACACATGCTGTGATCTTGGATTGAGGATGATTGAACTCTTACTCATCGCATTGCCAGACCAGCATGCTACACAGCATGCCACCAAAAGGGATAACGGCTATGCCAGCTTGCACATAGCAGCATGAGCTCAAGACTGTGCGCCGAGCAGCGTGTGAGCACCCCTTAAGTAGGGTGCCCACAGCTGCTACTGCTCAGCCCCATTACTCAGTCCTGGCTCTCCGGCCCCTCCTAGTGGCTGGAAGTGGCCTAGTAGGTTGCCTGGATGTTACAAATTCATTGATCTTCAAATAATAAGATAATGTAACAATCATGTTCAAGTAAGTAACTGAGGTTACTTACTTGAACTCAGGTATATGTTTACAAACAGCAATTACCGAGTGTTGACTCATAACTGAGGTTACTTACTTTTTTAATTAAAACTTCAAATACTTTTTGACAGTAATATTATTGCTTGTTGTTTGAACTTATGCTGTATTGTTGGTTATCATTGATGATGTTTCTTTTTTATGATAGAGATTCAAATAAAAGTAGTTTGTTCCTAATTGTTCCATTTGTATGTATATAGGCTTTACAATATCATAGGAATAAAAAAGCTAAAGACTGGTTTATACTACTGCAAAGGTGCACATAAACATATCTGCAGGGAGGAAGGTGAAGGGGGTGCCACTGGAGTGATAAAATACATTGCTTCAGGAACTGTACATTCTTTGTAGTGGGATGAAGGTTGAGAACTAGTTCTCTAACCTAGAGTTTCTCAATATTTCAATGACACATGCCACATATTGTGAGAATAGGCACCCAAACATCGTTGTGTTGAAAATCACCCAAAAAATGCTATTTTTAGGCAAAAAAAGTTCAGTTTTGTTTTCCTGTGGGCCGTCATGCTTTCTAATGATTAACAGTTGGGCCTTGAAGTATAAAAGACTGAGAACCCCAGCTTTAGCCCTTCATCTTTGTTCTGAGCACAAGACCACTGTTGGATATATTTGGTTGGCAGACGATTCTCACCTCAGCTGTGACACTGATGTGTGTAAAAAGTCTTGCAACACTGCTGTGCCTGATACACTCATACCAGCACAACACACAGTAGCAAACCACTGCCCTGAGAATGGTCCACCTCCTAAATAATATTTGCTCACCAGCAGTTTTGTGGTGGTTCCTTTCCATTGATGGATATGATAGGGAGCTAAATTGTTCTGCAACCGTTGGGCTACAGTTTGTAACTGTAAACCTACAAAGTGCACAGATATGGCCAATGAGTGTAGATACAAAGTAGGTGTACCTAGTAAATCCAGTGTATACTGAATTCAGAGTAAGTCTAAGCATATCAAATAAGTTAATAATGATAAATGATTCTAAATGCTGATGATGAGGTAACCAGGTTCCTGATTATGATAGATTTTCTCTAAAAAGTGAAAATGCAAATAAGAGGCTTTAATATACATGCAGTTTCTTTATATGATCTATATTCTGTGCTTCATGGTCAAAAGCAGTGGACACTACTGAGTGAGTGTCATTTAGTTAGTGTATTTCTGATGTACTGCACTCCTAAATGAACACACCCTCTCTAACAGTGGTTTTATGAGCTCATTGTAAATTTAGCAAACAGGAACTGATTGGGCTGCAACAGTGACACCAACACAGCAGAGACACAGACAGCAAGAGAAGCTTCCATTTTATTCAAGAGAAGAACGAATCTAACATGGACCGCCTTTTGATTTTCAGTTTCTTTATTTCCAGTAAGTAGACTTTTCATATGTATTGCAAATTACATACACCAATAATAAAAAGATCAATAGATCTATTAATAATTGATATTTTTAACATGATGGACATAAAGTCAAACAAGTGTTTGCTCTGTTGTCTCTGCAGGCGTTCAAAGCACTAGGTGGTTAACTCTTCAAACTGGAGGAAATGTCACCATCCCATGTCACTATGATAATGAATATATACAACATAAGAAATACTGGTGCTATCATGATGGGGGAGAATTCAATTACTGTAAGATTCTGGCATATGCAAATACCACAAAGGATAAATTAACAGTGATTGATTATCCAGCTCAGAGTCTCTTTACTGTGACTATGAGAGATCTGCAGAGTGGAGACACTGGAATGTACTGGTGTGCTGTGGAGATTGGAGGAATATTTTGGCCAGATGTTAAAGAAGATATTTATGTCACAGTAAACTCAGGTATATGTTTACAAACAGCAGTTACAGAGTATTGACTTATAACTGAATTTAGTGGTGCATGGCTTATAATTTATCCAGACATCTTTGCTAAATTGCTTGTCTTTGTGTCCAGATCCTGATCTGTCTGTAGTGGAGAGCAGCGTGGGTGGTCATGAAGGGGGCAGTGTCAGTATCCAGTGTCTCTACAGTGCTGGATATCAGAATGAACAGAAGCAGTGGTGCAGATCGAAAGACTGGAGTTGCTACACAGTGGGGAGGACCAACACATCCCAGAATTCAGCAGTGCAGATCAGTGATGATGGGAGAAGATCCTTCAGTGTGGAGATGAGTGAACTGCAGAAGAGTGATGCTGGCTGGTACTGGTGTAAAACAAGAGATCTACAGATTCCTGTTAATGTCAGCATCAGAAGAGGAAATGCAGGTAAGATGGCAAACGTAAGATTATCGTAAGGGTTGGGGTGCTAATATTCCAATAATGTTAATAAAACAGAAAGCAGTGATTAGCAAATTCAGTTTGGTCTGTGCTAAATTGTAAAGAGTACAAAAACAATATTTTTTTACCTCATTAAACTTTGGTTATACAAGACTTCAGTACAGAGGGCCTTTGTTGTTGTACAACCCCATTTCCAAAAAAGTTGGGGTGCTGAGCAGAATGTAATAAAAATACAATACAGTGATGTGCAAACCAACTGAACCATATTCTGAAAGGAAAATACTACAACGACAACATATCAAATGTTGAAATTGAGAAATTTGTGTTTTTTGAAAAATATATGCCCGTTTTGAATTTGATGCCAACAACATGTTCCAAAAATGGGGGCATGTTTACCACTGTGTTTCATCACCTCTTCTTTTAACAACATTCTGTAAGCGATTGGGAACTGAGGAGACCAACTGCTGTAGTTTTGGAAGTAAAATGTTTTCCTATTCTTGTTTGATACAGGATTTCAGCTGCTCAACAATTCACGATCTATTTTTCATTTCATAATTGGCCGAATGTTATCAGTGGGTGACAGGTCTAGACTGCAGACAGGTCAGTTTAGTACCCAGACTCTCTTAATACAGAGCAATGCTGTTGTAATACATGCAGAATGTGATTTGACATTGTCTTGCTGAAACAAGCAAGATCTTCCCTGCAAAAGATGCAGTCTGGATGGCAGCATATGTTGGCAAAACATGTATATATATATATTGTTCAGCATTAATAGTGCCTTCACAGATGTGCACGTCACCCATGCCATTTGCACTAAATCAGTTCTAAACCATCATGAATACTGGCTTTTGAACTGTGCACTGATAACAAGCTGAGTGGTCTTTAGCCCAGAGAACACAGTGTCCATGATTTCCAAAAAGAATTTGAAATGTTGATTTGTTGGACCACAGGACACTTTTCCACTTCAGTCCATTTTAAATGAGCTCAGGCCAAGAGAAAGTGGCAGCATTTCTCGGTCCTGTTTATAAATGCTTTCTTCTTTGCATTTTAGAGTTTTAACTTGCATTTGTGGATGCAGTGATGAATTGTTTTCAGAAGTATTCCTGAGCCCATTCAGTGATTTCAACTGCAGAATCATATCTGTTTTTAATGCAGTGCTGGCTGAGGGCCCAAAGATCATGGCCAGCAAATACTGGTTTTTGGCCTTGTCCTTTGCATACAGAGATTTCTTCAGATTCTCAAAATCTTGTAATGTTATTATGTACCATAGATGATGAAAAGCAAATGTTCTTTGCTCTTTTATGTTGAGAAACATTATTCTTGAATTGTTGCACTATTCGACTGTGCAGTCTTTGTGGTGAACCCCTCCTCATCTTTATTTCTGAAAGTCTCAGCCTCTCTGGGATGCTTTTTTATAGCCAATCATGTTAGTGACCTGTTGCCAATCAACCACCAGGTGTGTTTTTTTAGCATTCCACAACCAGCCTTTTGTTGCCCCATCAGTTTCAACATTTGATTTGTTGTCTTTGTACTATTTTCAGTTACGTATAGGGTTTGAATGATCTGCACATCATTGCATTTTGTTTTTACTTACATTTTGCACAGCGTTTTGCAACCAACGTTTTTGGAAATGAGGTTGCATTTTAGCTTCATAATGCTCTACATGTTTTCAATGGGAGACAGGTCTAAACTGCAAGCTATTCTGGTAACAGTCTAACCAGTCCTTTTCTTCTTTGGCTCAGAGAACACAATGTCCATTATTTCCATAAACAATCTTAAAGCTTGTCTCATCTGACCACAAACTAACTTGCATTTAACTTGCTTTAACTTACATTTGTGGATGCAGGGATGGATGGCATTTATCAACAACGGTATGTCAAAATATTCCTGAGCCCATGTAGTGATATCCCTCACAGAAGCTTTCGGTTATTAATACAGTGCTGTCCAAGTGATCGAAGGTCATGAATATTCCACTGTGGTTTTCAGTCTTGCCCCTTAAACAGATTTATCCAGATTCCATAAATCAACCTGAAGTCCAATCACTCACTGAGGAACATTGTTCTTAAACTGGTTTATTTACTCCTTTTATACCCAAGCATGATTTCATCATCTGTTTAAGTTGTTTTTTGGAATATTTCACAATGTTCCTAGTTTTAAATTGGTCCTGTCTCAATGTTTTTGCAGCATGTTGCAGGCATTAGTTTCAGAATGAGTGTATAGTCACAAAAAAAAAGAAAAAACCCAATTATGCTGAAAAAGTAACACATTAAACTTCTTTTCAAGAAAACACTTTTTTCTCCCATCATTTTTATCTTGGGTAATTTCAGGTACTGTTAGGTCCCTAATAGTGTTAGTTCATCAAATTATGTAATGGGAAGAATGAATTTATCTGGTCTGTGCTCATAGATTCTACGACGGTGGCTGGAAATACAAAGACAGACCTGTAAGTAGAGCAGTTTTCTCATTGATGCGAGTCTTTAAAATCAACGATCAGCAGTTCTTTTTGCAGAACTCGCTTTTTTGCAATAACAACTGAGAATGTACATGACTCAAGCGTCATTTTAAAGAAGCAATGCTAGTAAATAATGCACAATGTGAAATGCTGGGCTGAGCTTTTATAGACCCTGTACTTCAAAAACTGTTCAAACAATGAATTCATTATTTAACGTGTATGCTCTGAAAAGTGGTGCAAATAAAGGTATTTGTCTTTCTGGTTCACTGGGAAAAGGAAAGGTAAATCAGTTTCTTTATCCATTGCAGCGATGGAGGTAACAGGCTTATCTGGGTTCTACTGGCTGTAGGCCTGGGGCTGCTGCTGATTCTGGTCAGTATTATAACCTGGATGTTGAGAAAGAAGTGCAGTAAGTATTTGGCCTTCCATTTTCTTACAGCATTTTTAAAGACACTTTTGAGATTTTGTTATCAAAACTTTTGTTATCATTGACTTCCTTAACTCCTTCAAAAGCCTAAACATACTTAGCCATTCTTAATTTATTTAATTTCCAGTCAAAACAGCCATTAAGTATAGTTTATTCATTTTTGTAGCATTAAGATAAAAAGCAAAAAAAAAACATATATTTAACAAAATACTTACACAGAAGCCTCAACAACTAAATGTAATATTAAAATTTTCAGTATTTAGTGAATACACTCTTTGTCTTTACTACAGTTGTCTTTCTTTTCAGGAGACTTGCTTCCAGTTTTTCAAAGAAATCTGCAGGGATATTTTTTCACAGCTCCAAAGTTCAGTCTTAGAGGTTTGTTGCACTTTCTGCTTCTCAAGATTCAAGTAGTCCCAAATACATTCATTGATGTTGAGGTCTGGACACTGGGGTGGTCAGTCCATTGTTTTGAGAAGACCAGTAACCAGTAAGAAGGATGGACAGATACACGTGAATTTTTTCAGATCTGATGATCTACGAGGTGGTTGTTGGGAGTCTAATTTTCTGTGTATATCTTAAACATTTTTTGAGCTCCAGTTTTGGAAATAAAGGATGCACTGATATGGGAATTATGGGCTGATCCCAATATTCAATATTTTACATGTATATATCTTGGGCATGGAAAACTGCCTTCTCTGAAGGCCACAGCGCACAAGACATGCTGGGTTGTCCAGTTTAATATTACTACTTAACCCCTGATAAACAACTTCTTCTTCAAATTTTTCTGTTCCACCTTAAATGCAGCAGCAGTTACATTCTGAGGCCTGAGGTACCAAAATGTAACTGCTGCACCATTTAGGTGGAAGGGGAAAATCTGAACAAGAAGCTGGTGAATAACAAGCTGACTTCAGCTTCATAGTTTTAATGCTTGTAGTATTTTTAATAATGTGATTTAAGCTATAAAACTATCTTACCTAGTGTTTTATTTATGAAACTTCCTATAAATATGCACTATGGTAGGACGTTTTGACAAGGTAGCGCAATTCATCACTGGCTGTAAAAACTGGGAATACTCACAGGACTCACATCAATGTCCAAATGTCTGTGGTAAGGCTAATAGATGTCACATTATTGCCAATGTTGTGTAGTTTTGGTAGGGCTATGTTGAAAAAAATGGTGACTACCTGATTTGAACTGGAACCCTGATTTGGATTATGCATGCGCAGAAATAAGTCATTTCTGATATTGTTTTACGACACTCCTGTGCATGCATAGTCCAGATTGAGTTGGTTGATGTGCATTTTTGTCAGGTAGTGACAAGCACAGCCAGCATCACCTAAATGTTAACTGTGCTCTTCTGGCATACAATAAATCTTTGAAATATCGGCCAAATCAGCCCAATGCTGATGATTTTTAAAAAAGCCAATATAATTCCGATGACATTGTGCATCCCTATTGGAAACTCCTGTTTCTTCACATATTCTTCCCTTTCCTTATGCAAGAGACTTATTTTATATCTCCTCCTTTATATTTTGCATTCCTGTGTATTATGAATTTTAATTATATAACTTATAAGTAGACAACTAAGTAATCAGCACTGACTGATCTACAGTTGCTTTACTCACTTCATCTCACTCTTACAGATGAAAATCAAGCCAAGACCAGAGAGAAGAGCACTGACCCTGCAGTTGAGATGGTTAGTATTGTTGTTGATGGGTGTTATTATGCAGTATGGTTTAGCTGTTAGTGCTCAGGGTGCAGTAGTTAGTGCCGTGCCTTTCTGGTGTCATGCCTGTAGCTTTGAAAGCTCATTTGCATTGAGAAAAAATGTAGTAACTTTTAATCAGTGCAAGATTGTAGCTTTTTTATGGCAGTCTAGTTTATGAAATCACTCATCTGACAGTGTGCATGTGTGTGTGTGTTTGTGTGTGTGTGGAAAAGGCCTCTACAACTGAATGCACCGTGACGTACAGTAGCGTGACTGTTAAAAAGAAAAAGGTAAGACTTTATACTTCACATTCATCTATATACACACAGTATTGGATTACTGAAACATTAAGAGATTAAGTGACCCTGAATAACTTATGTCCACAGCCTTCATCTGCACCGGCTCATGAAAATGATGTGGTCTACAGCAATCTAACCACAGCTACCGAAAATAAAACTGTAAGTGAACTCCTAAAAATACTGCTGTTGCCGTGACTTCAAGCTGGTTGAAGGCAGTAAGTGTTAATGAGAAATATCTCACTTAGATGGAGGTTCCTCATTCTTACCAAGCATTTAGTTTAGCTTGTGAAGGAACACTCAGGGTGGTGGGATTGAGAAATCCCCCTTTATTTCTAAAGCTGTCCTATTTTCCAGCTCGCTCTAGCAGTTAGAGATGATGATGGGGTGATCTACAGCTCTGTGGTCAACACGTAAGAGGTGAGAGTAACACATTTAATCGCATCATCAACTGTTGTTTTTAGGCAACTTTAAAGGGGAATTTCATGTTTTAAACTTTCTCCATAGTACAATCATTGAGATGTAAACAAAGTCATTCAGAGTGGTTTGAGGTGAAATGGTACACTGTAGAGAAACGTGGTGGTGATATGAACCAGGGTTATAAAAGTATATCAGCTTTATCTACTATTCAAAATGACCAGGGAAACAACACACATTTTTATGTGTAATGTTGATAATGCTATGTTAAATAGTGTTAAATCTGAATAAAATATTATTATTTACAGAGAATATTCGGTCTTACATTAAACACAAACTTTTTTTTAAACTTTTGATGGCTAAAAGGAAACTTCGCTGGGTTAAAAGGGTTCATTACTTGAAGCTTTTAAGAGCAGTGTACATTAATGACACCTAGTGGTCAAAAGTTTGAACAGCAGCTATAAATCTACTCTGTCCTGGGACATGTTTTAGAATAAAAGTCCAAATTTTGTATCTTCTAGAGATTTAAAAGCATGTCGTTCATTTGTGAAGCAATAAAGGTAATAAAGACAGTAACATAAACATGACTCTGGGGTGTTTTACATGATAAAATAATCATATCAGCTTAGAGGCTCAAGATATTTATAGCTGGTGATATAGTAAGTCCTTTCCCAACTCATGCAAGACCTTACTCACATGACTCAATGACTTTATTTAACCATTTAAATTATTGCACATTTTATTATTTTACTAATTATTTTATTTCTTAATACTCAAATCACTTTTAAACATGATACCATGCAGGAGTTATTTACTTGTCTGACAGATTAAAACTGGTACATGGAAGTACGTGCACACATGCAGACATGACTGACAACATCCTCCTCCCATTCATTATTGTCATTTATGTAGCCTTGGTTCCATGTCTTGTTCTTAGTCTTTTCAAGCTTTATTTGTTTCCTCTTTGATTTTGCTTATAATAAGTGCCTTTAGTTTTGTTTCCTAGTTATTCCTTTTAATTAGTTTTCATCCTTCAGTTTTTACAGTCTCCACCTATACTTTAGAAACCTGTGTCAATCTGGACTGCAGTAAGCTCGACTCTGTGCATATGTGCATGCTGATCTCTATCAGCAGAACATGCTGGATAGAATATCAGAGGAAGAAAGAATGAATTTTGTAAGAAATCTGACCTGAAATAGTATACACTCATGTTGTGTGATGTCATCTTGTTAGTTGTATATTTCTTCCCTGACCCTGAAATTTGATTGGCCAATCCAGGGGCACCTCCCAGATCTGGATAGGCCATTATTCACTATAATTTGCCGGTCAAAAGAAGCACTGTGCCCACACATGGACATTCATAAGTTTGACTTGTGAGACTAAATGCAGCTCAACTGTGATGCCATTTTAAAGTTCAACAGATACAACATCACAGTGAAGACAGGTCGGTTTAATATGTAATGCTTTTGTTTTTTAAGGTTTATTGTCCATATTAATGTATGAAATTGCCATATAGCATAACTAGCCACCTGAATGTCAGAAAGCTGTCAGATTTATCCATCTGCCTGCCAGACAGCGAAGCATGGAGAGGTGATTTTTACATGCTACATGTTTCAGCAAGCCCAAGTGGCAAAGGTGGCATCCTATGACACATTTAAAGTCTCTGAGCACTTCATTGATTGTCTATGGAGTTTGCAGGGCTAGCTGCTTAATTTTATACACCTGTTAGCAAGAATGTGCCTGAACCACCTGAACTCAACAATTAGGAGGGGTGTCCACATACTTTTGGCCATATAGTGTACTTACTCAAGAATACAAGCACAGCAGTCACATTTATCAGCTGTCACATCTATTAGCAATCTGAAATTTGCCCATTGGAACTTGTTAGCTTCTTGTATAGTTTGGATATAAGCTTCCTAGACAAAAAAATTAGTCAGCTTGCATGTTTAAGATGGTAATAATTTTTAGGTTCCTGCAGATGGTGTTGCACAAGGATGATTGGGCAGGATTTGTGACGGGATTCATAGATTGAGAAGAGGTGGTTTAGTGTAGTGAATGTCTCATTCGATGTGTGGAAAATGGGTCGCAAAGCAGATGTTAATGATTGGCAAAAAGGAGTGACTGCATGTGGGCGTGCCGAAGGCCATAGTGTGAAGGAATTAGCTGAATTTGTAGGTGTATCGAAGCATGCAGTCACATGGGTTTACCAGCAGGAAAAATCCCAGTCTACAGGAAATTCCCGTCAGAATTGTGGACGAAAGATGAAACTGACGGACAGGGACCGCCAATGTGTTTCACGGCTTGTGAATAAAAATTGCTTTGCTTTCAGGCCAGAAATGCTAGAAGTCACCACACGTCCTTCACAACCAACTTCTGAAAGAACACTCCGCAGGGAACTGTATACCATGAACATATGAAGCAGAGTGGTACGCAAGAGCCTTCAATGAGGACTGAGTGCAAGGTGTGGTTCAAGCTGGAGAAGGCTCTCTGATGTTCTGGGGGTGTTTCAATTACACAGAAATGGGTCCTTTGGTTGAGGTAACAGCGCAGTGTATGGGGCTTTAAAAATGAATAGGGTTGTACATGGTTAAATGGTGGTGAAGCCTGCCAGAACTAAACCCATTCTTGAAGTAATTTCAAAAGAAGCTTCATGTCATCATCAATGATGTAATTTCAGGAGGACAACACAAGCATCAATATGAGCTTTATTGCCCTACTTACTTGTCACATACTTCGAAATGCCTGTTTCCGTAACATTTCTGTTCAATCTTTTGGTTGGTTAGTAATCTGTTGTGTCTTTGAGTTAGTGTGGGGTTTTGTTTATTATTTTTGGCTGAGCCTGAAGTGTAACCGGTGAAAGCACTTGCAATTTGTACAATATACTGTGAAGAACGTTTACCCTTTGTCTCTTGTTACACCTTACATGCATAATCACAAAGCATAGAGTTTGCACCACACCATTCTGTGACAGGCTGACCTTGGACTAGACTATTACAGGTAGTAGTGTGTTTGAGCATGATGGCCTTCTTTAAGATGTTCATCTTAAATGATGTGCTTTATTAATAGTTTTAAAAAAGAAATATTGGATCAGTTTTTGCTGATACTGAAGGTTTCAGTATTGCTATCAGTATCAGAAAAAGAAAAAATGGTGTTGTCCCATCTCTACTGAAATTTATTTTAAACCACAGCCCTGCTCATTAGCTGATAGTCAAGCATTTTTATGTAACTTTATCAAGCCATGGGGCACCCATAGGTTACTTTAGCTGGTAAATGTTAGCTAACACAGCTAAGCAGGCCATGTCATGGAAACTGCTTAGCTAGGCTACTTATAGGAACATCTTTGGGAGGATTTTTATGCCTGGCACAAACGTTGAAGCTGGCGGTTTTAGTGTTCTTATACTTCCCTAATATGAGAAGCCACTGGCGAGCCCTAGCTGCATCAGTCAGGAAGGACAGAAGGTTTGTGGTGCTGTCACATCCTCTAAAAGTGCAATAATGAACCATGGTTCTGCAGATACAGTTTAGATTTTATATTATAATTGTAAATGGGCAAAATAAAAATTTGAATAAATTCACAATTAAAGTACACTATGGTAACACATGCTAAATATAGCTACGTAGCCCACACAAATATATTTAATTCCAATAAAAACTATATGAATAATAACAACAAAAATACTTACAGTTCTACAAATGACAAGGTCAAATGGCAATAAATTGCAAAAATGTTAAAAACTGGCTCTTGACAAGACGTTCATATGAGAGGGCAAAATGAGCAGGCAGGTTTTTATAGTTTGGGCTGCTTCCACAGTTGGGGGGCATCAACAACTGAACGTTATTTGTTTCTACATGTGTTGGGGTGTGGCTACAGATCCAGCAACACTGCATTTTCAGGATCAGAGTACAAACTGTGATTTGATGGTACAATTTTTGTTGGATGAATCACTTGTACCAGCAGAAAACACCATCACTCTTGTGTCTGAATGCGTTTAGAGCTCAAATATTCAAAATTAGGGTTTATTTCCTCTTTAAAATGAAAATAATGTATACATTTGAATCAGATTCATTCAATCCATTGCTTCTTCGGCTTTTCACATTGTCCACATTTTAGCCAACTGTTAATTTCTGTTCTCTGTGTCCTGATTGTAGGTGTTAGCAGATCCGGACAAAACACCAGACCAGAAGACTGCAAAATATACTAACACATACATATACTAACATAAATAATACTACATAATAATAAATATACTAACACATGCTAATGTGAAGATGACCGAAAACTTGCCTGTGCTAATGAAGCTAACTTGTTAGATGTTAACTAAAATATTTATGATGATTGTGTTTGGAATTATGATGATGCCAAATTTATATTCCACAAGTTAATCAATCTAATAAACTGTCTAATAACAGCAGTTTGGAGTAGCATAACATACTGTTGCTTCGCATTCTGGTTCTGGTTCACTGATGCTCCATTAAGGAAGTTTAGAGGATAAAGACCAGAGGTGATTCTAGGATTTTACCATTAGACGGCTCAGTCCCCTATGAGAACTTCTATTTTATTCAGTGGTCAATTTTCTCTGATTGTCAAGGCTCTTCTGTCCAACTATCGGATATGTCAGTTTCAAAATGTTGATGGGTCATCTGTCTTCAGAATTCTCTCAAATTGCTGTCTTGTGTTTTCTTACTTATCAATAAATGCATTACCCGCCCCCCAAGAACCGTGTCCTGCTTCTTTTAAGCACGAAATGCGGCATATTTAGAAGGCATCATCTCAATGCCCCTCTTTTAGGCTAGATAGCTAAGCTAACTAATAAACTAATAACTAACTAATAAACAGTTGCATAAGGTTCAGACAGCGATTTTTACATGTTATCAGGATTTTCTTACTTGTGGGAGATCCAATAATTGCCCCACTATACCTCGCCTGTTGTTCAGATTCAGCATTAGCAAGTGTTATGGAAAGCTTTGCGGCAGAATCTTCAGTACAGTTCAAATCAAGATATCACAGAATGATGGAGCTCAAATCATACTTTGCTTGTTGTTTACTGCAGTGCTGCAACAACAAAAGAGAAAAAAGAAAAAAAGAGAAAAAATATTTAAAAATCCAAAGAATTTGATTTAGTTGAGAGAATGGATTTCAGAAAGAATTACATTTTCTGGGGAAATGAAATAGGGTCTAGATTTGTCCAAATATGAGAGACTGAATCAAGTCACCAAGATAGATAACCAGCCAACTTACCTCTCCTTACCTGATATTTGCTTGTTACTCTGCTTTCAAACACCTACAGAAAACTGACAGCTGTTACCAATAGTGTTAACCTGCCTCATTATGGAATGATGTTAGGATGGCTGGTTAATGTTAGTTATGCTTGCTGACAAACTGGGAAAGAGTTCATTAAAGTTAACTAGGATTAACCTGAACAGAATATCAAAATGACTTAATTTTAATAAAAAAGGCATTCTTTTAATAATAAATTCATGTCTTAGGATATTAATTCTAACATGAAGTGGTTCAAAAAAGCACTTGACCGTGCCCGTTCTGAAAAAACAGTACCTGTGCCATGTGCAAAAGATTTGGAAACGCTACTAAATCAGCAAACACCTCTTTGGCAGATATTGCAGCGTGCAAAAGCTTTTTGTAGCCAGCTAGGAGTTTTTCTATTTTTGTTTTGGGAGTTTTCACCCACTCTTCCTAATACCTTATTCCAATATTCTTGGGTTGTTTTGCATGCACAGTTTGTTTAAGACCTACCAACAGATTTTCAATAACCTTCAAGTCAGAGGACTGTGAGGGCCATTCCAAAAGCTTCCGTTGCATTTCTTAGCAGTCCATGGTGGATTTTGAGGTCAATTTTTGGATCACTTTGTGTTGTATAAGCTAGCCTTTTTTCAGCTTCCTAACTGACCATGTCACATTACCTTCCAGAATTTGCTGAGATTTAGTGGAATCCATTCTTCCATCTACCTGTGCAATGTTTTCTGTGCCTCTGACTGCAAAACAAGCCCAAAACATAATTGATGCACTGAGATATTTAACAGTTGGGAAGGTGTTCTTTTCATCAAATGCTGATCCTTTTTTCCTCCAAACACACCTTTGGTGATTGTGGCCAAGAGATCAATTTTGACTTCATCCTTCCACAGTACTTTTTAGTTTCCAGAGATAAGGCTTATCTAAATGTTGATTTGCATACTTTAGACTTTGACTTTTGTGATGAGGTCACAGGTAAACTTTCATTCTGATGACTCTTCAATGCAGATTATTTTGGGGAAAGCAATGCTACACAGAAGAATGGTGCACACCACTCCTTTGCAGAGGCGTGGACTCAAGTCCAAGTCACATGACTCGAGTCACCGATTTGATGACTTTAGACTCGACCTGAGAAAATCGAGAAAGACTTGGGAATCTGACTTTGACCAGTGACTTGGACTCGGACTTGAATGTCATGACTCGGAAAGACTTGAGACTCAGAGTGGAAGTAATGTGGAGAATCTGACTGCAGATGGGACTCTACACAATCGATTATTTTTTATGTGAATGAATAATTAGATAAACAGCACCATCATCAGATGTCTGTTATTGTGTTTATGCTTGATTTATTTCGGAAGACAAGAAAAACATTAGAGCTTAAGTTCGCCTCCATAAGCTGAAAACAAGCAAAGCGCCAACAGCATCATTGCGCCCTCGCTCAGCACTTACACTCCAGTCTTACTGGAGAACTTACCAGGTGAACTGACTATTTTCTTCATGATAGCAAAAAAAAACTCTTTCTATTTGACCGATTTTAACAGCTTCTGCTCGTAAAACAAGTGCAGCATTCACCACAAGGCTGAAGTTGATGTTTTTTTTTTCGCCAGCTTCATATTGAAATTTCCCGTTCCACCTGAAATGGTGCAGCAGTTCAGCGCAGGAACATAACTGCTGCACCATTTCAGGTGGAATGTAGAATTCAAATAAGAAGCTGGCAAAATTTCATACATTCACCATCATTTTGCTGTCTTTTCTGTAAGCTTTGTTCATCTCGGTGGTTTTGGTTTCTGTTGTAGTCTAAATTTAAGTCAAACAAGCGGTTATTTTTAGTTGGCTGAACTAGTTTTTATTTTTCAATCCTGTGTGCCCAATATTTCCAAAAATCTTTAAAAAAATATTTTCAAATATAATGTGTTTTACTAAGTTCAGTAGTATTTTTAAAATTCTTTTTATATATAGTACACTAGTGGATGTGTATATAGTGTGCCCCTCATGGTTATCTGTGTACCATGGATTTTGTATTTTAGTTGGGAGGGTAAAAAATATATAATAAAAAATCAATGTACAGCCAAACACAGCTAATGTCCTGTCATGAGAAGGCTATAGTACTGTTACCATTATTAGGTATTAAGGCCTTAAATTAGCTGAAGATATACTGTGATATCCTTTATGTGGTTTTTATCACCTTCCCCTGATTTTTAGGCATCAGCTTCATGTCCAGCTCTTCAGTCAGCTTAGAAGAGCCCGTGACTGTTGAGTGTTGGCACAAGATTTGAAGAGTCAGAGAATTTATTATGCTTTCAGCTGACAATTGTTGACCTGCCTAACCTTTCCTAATGAAAGCATTTGTGTTTTTTTAGATGTTTTAAGTTAATCAAAAAAAAATAATACCTTTTAAAAATAGGTTGCTGCGGAAGTTGTATAATATGTAATTTGGTCAGGAGTGCCCAAACATTTGCCTACAATTTTGTGAATTTTGTAAATGTATTTAACAACTAATAAAACGCTGTTCAAAGTTTATTACTGTTTATTATATTCTTGAATAGGTGAAGCCTTGGACTTCATATCACTGCACAATTCAGTCTGTTTCTCACTGTAACACACCCACTTCACTCATCTGCTAATCACAAAGTCCTCTGTGAATGGAATGAGCTTGGTTTCTCCACTTGGTCAGATAATAACATGTCTTTGGACAATGAACCTGAGTAAGACAGGTGTTTTGTGCGCGGGGTGAAATAGTGAGGCTGTCATTGTGTCAGTATTTTCTCAGCCCATTACTTTGGCAATTACTCAATACTGTGATCACCCATTTGGTGCATGTTCGGCAGTCAGCAAAAAGGATATTGGCTGCTTCAGCCTCAGAATAAACACTGAGATGAGGAAGTGAGAATTACAGGACTTTGTTCTACACAAGAAGAAATGCGCTACCATTTGCTTTTCATTTTCTTCATTCCAAGTAAGTTACTTTTTCATTTAGTGTTGGCTACATTTAACATTACTGGAGATAAATATTTGTACTGAGTTGTGAATGTGAATGTATTATCTGTTGTCCAAACAGGCATTGAGAGCAGGAGGTGGTCAGAAAGGCAGTTATCTCTTCAAACTGGAAGATCGATCACCATCCCGTGTCATTATGATATCAAATATATACAGCATAAGAAATACTGGTGTTATAATGCTGGGGCAGCATTTAATTACTGCACGATTCTGGCTTATGAAAATACTACGAAAGATAGAGTAACAGTGACTGATTACCCAGCTCAGAGTCTCTTTACTGTGACTATGAGAGATCTGCAGAGTGGAGACACTGGAATGTACTGGTGTGTTGTGGAAATCGGAGGAATAACTGAGCCAGATGATCATAAAGATCTTTATCTCACAGTGCAGTCAGGTAGTAGAAAATAAATGGAATATTCTCAGTAATGGATCATAGCACAGACTGTCTTTAATTCAACTGTTCATTCAGTCACACTCTCAGTCAGAATCACTTGTCTTTGTCTCCAGATCCTGATCTATCTGTGGTGGAGAGCAGTGTGAGTGGTCAGGAAGGGGGCAGTGTCAGTGTCCAGTGTCTCTACAGTGCTGGATATCAGAATGAACAGAAGCAGTGGTGCAGATCTAAAGACTGGAGGTGCTACACAGTGGGGAGGACTGACCCATCCCAGAATTCAGCAGTGCAGATCAGTGATGATGGGAGAAGCTCCTTCAGTGTGGAGATGAGTGGACTGCAGAAGAGTGATGCTGGCTGGTACTGGTGTTATATTAGAGATCTACAGATTCCTGTTTATCTCAGTGTCACTGAAAGACACTCAGGTAAGATCACACTTTGGACAAATGTCTTAACTACATTTTTTCCAGCTGTCATAAAGCATCTACTACATCACATTATGATGGACAATGGAGATTTTAGGTGATTTTCTTAGTGTTAAAAATAGTGTGACTTCTTTCTAACTAGACTGTGATAGCTTAAAGTGAAACCGCCCTCTAGTTCTGCTTTCTTTCTTTTGCTCTGGACTTCTCTTTTTTAAAATTCTTTTTTTGACAGTGTGTCCATGATCTCCTTTGCACAGTACTGTAAATAATACATCTGAGTCTGACCACAAAAAATATCAGGTGATCAAACAGACACAAGGTCAGAGGGAAAAGTTGTGGCCAAAATGTGACATTTTACCTCCTGGATAACGTGAAATACCTAATTCAGTCTAATAAAGTGTATTTCTTTATTCCCTCAAAGATCACAGCATCATGGCTGTGTGCCTCACTGTGCTTCTGCTGCTGATGGTTTTGGCTGGTGTAGGACTCTGGATTCGGAGAAAGAGACACAGTCAGTATTACTAAGTGTATCACTGTTTGGTCCGAATTCACTTTGGATAGTTCTCTGTCTGTGATGCTCAAATTGATTATTAAAAAAATATCTAGTTTCGGAATAGGACCAGGGTTTAGTCAATGACCCAACATGAGGGGTGACTAGGGGTAAGGCCTGGGATACACTCTAAAAATTAAGGCTCCTGTATGGTTCTTTGCTTGGACATGAGGTTCTAGGAAAAAACTAATTGTTATAGAACCTGTACTGATTCTTTAAACACTAAATTTCTTTACACACACATCTCATTTTCAAAAATTGGTTTAAAAAACATCCATTGGTTCCTTAGGCACATGGTTCTTCTATTGCTCCACAGAACTAATTTTGGCACCTTCATTTAAGAGCATATTGTCGCTGTCCAAATAAAACATTTTTTAGATTTTTTTCTTTCATTTAAGCATGACACCTGCTCTTTACAATGTGTGAACATTTCATGAACGGACCAATAGAAATGCTCCCAAATTGCTTGGCATAAAAATCTCTTTTACAATAACTTACATTGAAAGTAAAGAATGTTTTTTCCCCTTTCCTGTAAACTTATCCTTTTCTGACATACTTGTTTTTCTTTGGACAGTGATGATATGTTAAGATACTAGTTAATAAGTATTGAACTGAATGTTAACAACTTTGTTCAGTCCATCCAAACAGGACTATGCAAATTAATGTTCCTCACAATATTTTTAAAGCTGCATTTTGTAAGACTTTTTGTTACAATTGTAAGAAGTAGCATTACTGAATCAGAAGAAGAAAAAAAAAATTCTAAAATATGATTAGTTGGTGCCACTGCAAGTTGCCAGAAATGATCATTTAAAAGTCAGATATGTAGGGTCTGATTTCGGACCACGTTGTACGTGTTTATGTGTGAACGCCACACTGACAGTCTCAAAAACAAGGTCCAGCTCAATGTTTAGGATGTTTATGCAAAATCAACATTATACTGATGAACATATAATGAACATGAAAACTGTTATAACGTACATGAAGTTTTTCAACGTGCTTGCAATCGTCAGATTCATCCTCTCAGGGAAGGGGTCCAGAGCACAAGCAGTGTTAGAAAAAGGTTATTTTGTACATTGCGTGCAATTACACATTTCCTCCAGAGGGGTCTCCAAATTCCCAAAACTTATATAGTGTAGCCTTGATTAACTTTACTATTTCATAAATCAATAGCTTGGTCAGTGAGGTATTCACTTTACACTTTCCATTGCAGCAGCAACAGAGGAAAATCAGCTAGAAATCAGAGAGGAAAACATTGACCAGGCTGGACACACAGTAAGTGTTCTGAGTATAAACTGAATACTGTCTGAAATCTTACTGCCAACAATGATGTCATCGTCAGAATAAAACAGAAAAGCCTCAAACAGTATGTATATCACAGTTACCCGTATTTAATATGTTCACTTTTTGCTTTTGTGCACCTACTGCCACTTTAACTCTTCCATACTTCCAATCCTGTACAGCTGTACAGTACAGTAACCAACCAGTTACAGCTGTGTCCTCCCACCAAAAACTGTTCCCAAAGTAGTCACTGATATTCTGTTCCTTTTCAAACTAATATTCACACAAGGAACTACACAAAAATACATGTGCATCTAAAATGAGTAAAGGTGAAATTTCTGGAAAGATTAGATATAAGATATTAATTTGCTTAAGGAAAGTGAACATCAAAGGAAAATAACTGACTAAAGGGGTTTTAAAACTGGAATGATTAAATGATTAAACAATACAGACAAAATGGAACTCCTAACAACCATGCAAGACCTAACCTTAGAGCCAACAATCAAGCTCCACTCTTGCTTCAGATCTAAAAAAAATCCACAGGTGTTTCTGTCTATCCTTCCACTGGGAGAGACACCTCAACACTATTAGTCTGAAAGGATGTGTAGCTGTCAAGAAGCCTTTACTGAGAAAAGAAAATAGATGTAAAAGAAGAAAATTTGTACTAGAACACCACAACTGAGAAGCTGCTGGTGTTATCTGAACAATGGACTAGACTGAATGAGTGGACAGTGTTTGGGATTACTTGGATCACGAAAAGCAGAAAATGTGACTAACTTCTAAGTTCAGAGGTGTGGAGAAATATTCCTGCAGATTTCTTTGAAAAAGAGCAAGTCTTCTGAAAAGAATGGAAGCTGCAGTAAAGCTTGTCTCTAATGTTTATTGAACTGACAAAAGCACAAAGAAATGACTTTTAATGTTTTGGCTGACCAACTTCATTATATTTTGTAAACATATACAAATTTTGAATTTTATGCTTGCAACACTCTCAAAAAAGCTGGGACAGGGCCATTTTATTTTCTCTTAACACAGCCAGCCACTGCGTCAAGAAATACAACTTAAAACTCTATTACACAAGGAGAAAGCCATACATGAATTCTCTGCAGAAATGCCTTATTCTCCACATGCTACAACATTATGGCTTTTTATTGAGTTGGTCAATAATAAAAAAAAAAAACGTTGGAAATCTTTTATTTGTACTTTTGTCAGTTAACCTTTTCAACTCCTTGAGACCACCGGTGGTTCCAAAACGCGCTTCATCATATTCTTCAAAACTTTCTTATTTCATATGCTACATTCAAAAGGTGGGTGTCATATGAGAGCTGTAACTGTCTTCTTTCCAGTCAAATAGATGGGTAATGTAATTTTAAACTTATATTAGAAGAAGCTGAACTCTACTGAAAGTTGACCCATTTTTCCACAAATCTGGGCTATAATCTATAAACAGATGGTGTCTGTTCAGTGATCTGCTCTGTAAAAATTATTATTTTTTAAATAATACAAAGAGCGTCTAAGATTTTTGGCTTTCAGCAGTAAATTGTAAGCATATATCAATATGTGTATGATCATAAAACACATTTTCTGTTAATTTGAGGGGAGCTTTAAAATAAATAAATAAATAAAATAAAAATTTACATTTATTTCATGCAGTTACTGAATAATTTGCCGTACGATTTGGTCATGTAAATTCAGATGGAAAAACCAAAATATACCCTGGTGAACACAGGTTGAAAAGAATGAACAAATCACAGATTCTTGTTTTTACTGCATTTTACAAAATCTCCCAACTTTTCTAGAAATGTGGTTTGTAAATACATGAAAGGTCTCCAACATCTGCATAGTGTATATCAATCAAAAAAGTGAAAAATTCTGTGGAATAACAGAATACTAAATACACTACAATGGACTGACTTTTTCTCTTTTTTACAGGATACCACAGAGGTATCGTACAGTACAGTTAGTTTCATAACAGACAAGAAGAAAATAAATCGGAGAAACACAGAAAGTCAGGTTTGTTCTTTGTGTGACTTGCATTATTTAAGATTATGTAAGATGAATTCACGCAACTGTACACATTCCACATGTATTCATATATATATATGTTAAGGTGACAGGATATCTCTGTGTGTGTGTGTGTGTGTGTGTGTGTATTTGTGATGCAGACCTGTTCTCCAACTGAAGATCCAGTGACCTACTGCGCCTTAAGTACCATGAAGCCAAGGACAGAACTATGATACACTTTTTCATAATTCAACACAATGCAACACTAAAGGTTTTTATAAGCTTCATATACTACTGGGAATTTTAAATGGAAGTTGTTAACCATACACAGGGCAAAATACTTTGAAAAAGAAGAGAGAAAACTGAGTACACTGTCCTAAATGATTTCAGTAACATATTCCATCACAACACATAAAAAAGTAACATATTCAGAGTACATTTAGAATACATTTAGAATACATATTGATAAGGCACAGAGTCATTTTTTTTTTTTAACTTTCTTTCTCGTTGTTACTGGTTGGCACTGTTCTTCCTGTAATTCTTCTGTTAATGTGTTTCATGAAAAATCATTTAATTATCATTTAAATGAAGTTCTGAAATTCTAAATATTTGTTTTCTCTGTCCCTAGCAGGGGTTTGATCATTCCTCAAAAGAGCTTAGTAATGCTCAGATAAATAACCGGCTTGGGTATACTTGATTTAACAGTATACTCAGTTTTTGGCAGAGCTCAGAAACACTGAGATTAATAACCGATCATCACATTGATTTGTCAGTCTACTCAGGCTTTAGCAGAGCTCAGTAACACTGAAATTAATAACTGATCATCACATTGATTTATCAGTCTACTCAGGCTTTAGTAGGAAATTCAGTGTTTGTAAAGAAGCCATTTAGTTCCTCTTTAGAGTTTGTCTAATGAGCATGTTTTTAAATTAGTTAATAAACAGGCATCGATTGTGTTTCTTTTGAAGATTTTTTTTTTTGGGGGGTAAGTATTCTAAAAGTATTCTCCTAAAATAACTGTATTCTAAATACTGCCTTTACACAATGTATCTTGGACTGAATACAGATACTTAATTTCTGTATTCTGAACTAGTATTCCCAATACTTCTATTCCGTTACATCCCAGCTCTGAGCATACACGTCCATTTGGGGGTGTATCTTTATGTAAATGAGCTAGTTGTGAACAAACAGAGCAGTGTAGGATTTAGCATTGGTTGTTGCATACAGCTGTGCATACACATTTGATAAACACTGCTGGTTTTTACGCACAGAATAGAACATGTTTTACACATATTTCGATAAATGAGATCCCAAGTGTGTAACAGAACAGCCTCTTCTGTTGGGGAGTGTAACGATAATGGCTTTCAGTGTTTTTTCTTACACCATCTAGTTTTGATTTTTCTGTGCATGTTATAATATGGTGATGTGGTTTTTCAGGAAATGTTCTAGAGCCCTTAAAGGAACAGTTCAGCATTAAAATCTAATTTATACAGTTTTCCACTTACCCCAGATATAATCAAGCTTCGTTTAGTGTCCAAATGTTGCTTCTTTAGTTTAGTGATGGAGCGAGGTCATCAGTTAAGGCCCATTTCACATGCTCTAACATCAACATATAGTTACACTATACACTATAATCTCATTACACTTTTAGACATGTGGTGAGTAATCTATAGTGGATTAACTACCCCAACACTGCTCACCATTTACTGGTAATAAAGATAAATTCAGCTGTTACAGTGAAGATGCTGAGAATCAAAATGTACATGAGTAAACTGTAACATTTTAACAGCAAACAGAGAGTAAAAACAGAATATTTCTATTTTTTGACTGTACTGAGCTGGAAAGTCATCATGACTGATGCAGTTCACAATCCGGCCAGCAGGAGGCCGAGCACACTGACAGTGACTATTTAAAGTGTAAATGAGTTTATTTATTCGAAGTCATCTGGCACCCTGATAAAGATGAGCGCCAAAATGTGCCACAATTGTGGCAACCCTAGAAATTCTTATTAATTCTTATTTAAATAGAGTCACAGTCTGTTTCTTTTCCAATTTAGTCTATCTATCTATCTATCTATCTATCTATCTATCTATCTATCTATCTATCACAAATCATGAGAGCTGAAAGGGACTTTCTAAATGTTTGAATTTGGTGTTTGGTTTAATGTGGGACTCACAGTAACAGACAGAGGGGGAAAAACGAAAAAAAAATAAATATATATATATATATATGTATATATATATATATATATATATATATATATATATATATATATATATATATATATGTATGTATATATTACAAAAAAGGAAGAGCACTGTAGTTGAGTTGCTTCAGTAGTTGAGAGGCAGGAAGAGTTTTTGACATTGGAGCTCTTAGAGAAACATGTACTTTTACTTAATGATGAGTTCTTTAAATCTCTTTGTGTCTCAGGTAACATCAATACTGTATTATTCCTGTACAGTGTATTTCTGTTCTTCACACTCACTGCTGTAAATACACTTTTATTAAACTTTTATTGCATGACGTTACCTCAGTGTAACAAACCACTTTGCTACCACTTTACAATGACATAATACATATTTAATTACAATGAAAGGGTTAATAATGGAGGGAGGAGTTTGAATAAATCAATAAAAACTTGTATTTGATCAAATCATCTCCTGGTGGGCATTTCTAAACCTCTTTCTGGCATGGTGCAGCTTGGGGAGTGCCAGAGTTATGCATTAGACAATTTAATTCAATAAGTTATTATTTTTTATTCACACAAACTAAAATTCTCACCTGTCTCAAATATGTTGCCTAGAAGAATAGATAAAGTCAGTAGCAAGCCACACTGTTGTAGACTCTGTTGGGAATTGTTTAATTTTCTGGTTTTCTGTTATTTTTTCCCTTGTTTTAGTCATTATTCAATGTTAAACAGTATTAATGCTAAAGGATTCCTATAATTCAACTGTTCTGTTCTCATGGTTTGAACAATAACAACAAACTACCCCAAACAAACTTGACTACCACTACACACAAATAAATGAAGTGGTCTATAATACGTTCCAGAACAATTCCCTTCATTTATTGCTCACTGTTACTAATTAATAGGCCCTGCATGCATTATGATACAGAAATTAAAGTGTCACTGATGTATTTACCTTTAACTTGACAGTCCACGTTATTTACCAGCTTGGTCTGCTGGGTTCACCTGCTATCATATATGAGTCTCACACAAACCAAACAATCAGTTCACATCACTCCCAATTCAATATTCAATATACAAACACAATTCCAAAAACATTTTTGATATTTTACCTTATAAACTACTTGATTTTTTGTAAATATATGCTTATTTCAAATATGCCTGCAAAATGTTCCATAAAAGTTGGGACATACACAACCATGCTGTTGTAAAATGTGTGCATGTGTATGCATGCTGTTGTTATTTTGAAATAACCTTTGACATCCCTGAAAAAAAAGTCTAGCTTGCAGCATATATTGCTCCAAAATGTTTACATATCTTTCAGTGTTATTGGTGTTTTAACAAATGGGCACTAATACACCCACATACCATAACAGATGCTGGCTTTTGAACTTTACGCCGGTAACAATCTGGATAGTCCTTTATTTCTTTGGCCCAGAGAACACAACATCCATTAATTCCATAAACACTCTTAAAGGTTGACTTGTCAGACCACAATACACGTTTCTACTGTGTATCTGTCCATTTCAGATGAACCCAGAGAAATTGGCAGGGTTTCTGGACATTGTCTACAAGCAGAAGATAGAAAGACACTTCAGAGATGGGGAAGGTGATGGCAAAGTATTCAGCACTTCACTAACTTCAAAGGCAAAAAAGACCCACCCACTAGCAGCAGTGGCTCGCTGGCCAAGGAACTCAACAATTTCTTCGCCCCCTTTGGAGGTGGATGAGGCAGAGACTTGGACAATATTATGGCCAGCTACCAATAGCCTGGCACTCACTATCAGCACAGTTGACATCAAGAGAGCACTCCACAGTTCTAACCCAAAGAAGGCAGCTGGTCCAAATGGAATTCCAGGGATGGTATTTAAGGACTGTGCAGATCAATATGATAGAGCTTTTTAACAAGTGTCCACAAACTGTTAGGGTAGGGCTAATCCCCCCCTGATCTTGACACTCAGCACTGGAGCTCCACAGAGCTGTGTACTGAGTGCCCTACTTTATTTCCTTTACAAACATGACTGCGTACCAACCCACAGCACAAACACCATCACCAGGTTTGCGGACGACACCACTGTGGTGGGGCTGATACATAATGGTGAAGGTCTCCTGACCTTCATGGTCTTATCCTTCAGTATCTGGCTTAGTTTCTTCTTTGTTATTCTTTGTCTGGTCTGCTTGTGGTCCCTGTTTAAGCTCTTATCATCTCCAGATTTTGATACATTTAAATATTATATGTCAATGGACAGACCTAAAAACAAATTCTTACTTGCTTTTGGTTCTGACAAAGCGCTACCAATTTGAAAAAGTAATATGGCGATGTAAAAGATGTAATATGGTGTCCCACAAGGTTCTATTTTAGGGTCTTTCTGTTTCTTTTTCCCTTTATTTACAGCCCCTAGGATACATACATACATCATCTAAACTGCTTATCCCTCTGGGTCACGGTGGGGTGCTGGAGCCTATCCCAGCTGTCATTGGGCGGAAGGCAGGAAACACCCTGGCCAGGTCACCAGTCCATTGCAGGGCAGACAGACAGACAGACATACACACACATTCATACCTAGGGGCAATTTAGCATGTCCAATTGGCCTGACTGCCTGTCTTTGGACTGTGGGAGGAAACCGGAGTACCTGGAGAAAACCCACGCAGACACGGGGAGAGAACAAGCAGACTCCACGCAGAAAGGACCCTGGTCGCCCAGCCGGGAATAGAACCCAGGCCCTACTTGCTGTGAGGCGACAGCGCTACCCACAGTGCCACCGTGCCACCCGCCCCTAGGATATATAATGCATAAACATAACATTGGCTTTCACCTTCATTCATTCATTCATTCATTCATTCATTCATTCATTCTGGTGATAGTTATATGTGTCAGTTCAGCCAGATGCAATGACACCGTTACACGTAATGAAAGATTGCGTTAAAAACATTAAAGCCTGGCTGACCAAGAACTTCCTCCTGCTAAGCTCTGATGAAACAGAAGTGTTGCTGTTGGGTTCTAAATCCGCAGATTTTTGACCTTAATGGTTTTTCAGTGCAACCAAAAGCCACAGTTAAAGACCTTGTTGTAATACTGGATGCTAGTTTATTATTTTAGTTGCATCTCAGTAAAATCTTTACAACTGTATTTTATCATATTCAAAATAAGACACATGCTAACTCTTCAAGATGCAAAAAAATCTTTAGGCTAGAACATGTCTGCAGCATGCATTTTTCACCTGTTGTCTATTGTGCTGTTGCTGTTGTCTATCAGTTCTGTATGGGAAAAATTGAGGTTTTTAAGAATGTTTGTTATCATGTCCTGTGGTAAAAAAAATGTTGCAGACTTACATATTCATATTATACATATTGTATATACATATTGTGCTTTGTGCATTTTACCCCAATCATTAATTGGGCGCATTGGGTCGTTAAAAAGATGACATACAAATATTACTACATACAAGCCAACACTGGTGCACATTGAACTGACATCATAAGACTGGCAACTTCAGCAAAAGTGTGTTGGATTGCTCATAGCATCCAGCAGTATTCTAATTTTGATTACTTAATAACCTCATAATTCAGAGGATCCTGAGACACTATGATAAATGTGCACATGACCAAACAAACAGAGTTTTGAGTATTCTTTTTACTTCAGGGAGTGATAGCAGTGATTTTCTAAAACGCTGTCCATTTTTTACCATGGAGAAAAAGGCTTAGACTCAGAATTCCTTATTTGGCCAGAACATCCACTATAAAGTAATGCATAGGCCTTTTAGCGCTTTCTCAGTTGCAGGAAGTTCA